CTTTAAAATACTTATAAAACGCCATTAAGTATAGGTCAAGGGCTTGCCCTTTCCCCTGTCAAGCCTACAGAGCTGGCTGGCCACTAGTCACTGCTATGGAGGAAAAGGGCCACGGGCAGAAGGCCCTGTGGGAGCCGAGTCAGCTTCCAGCTGTCTCTCCGTTGACCTCTGGTAATAGCCCACAGTCAGCTGTGGCCAACAAGTTACCATAGATTTCCATCAAGCATAATGCTTGTCGGCGCCTGGGATTTCGGGAAACCCCCCATCTTTCCCCGCCTCTGTCAATGAAAGGCCAGCTGGAAGCAGAGCCAGTCCGATTCCGTGTGGTCCCTGATCCCGGCTACAGAGGGCATTTGTTTCACCTGAGGCTTTAGATTCTCCATCAGTGTGGGAACACTGCTCACATCTCCATAGCTACTAGAGATGGAAGAGCGACCAGGTAGTAAGAGAAGTTCATTGGCTGCCACCGGCTGATGTGAGGAACCCACCTAAACGCTTGGCTGATACATCAAGAAGGGGCAGAAGTGTCCGAGAAGAGGAGACCTGGGCATGTCGCAGGGACACAGGTGGAAACAAAGATAAAAGGTGAAACTCCCAGACATCACCTCTTTCCAAAGCCCCACAGCCCGAGTGGGCCCCAGAAGCAGGAAGAGCAAACGCTGCCTCATAAAAGACCTTGAGAGCAGTTTGCGTGAATGTCGCTTTCGATATCTCCAGGCCTCGGTAAAGTCCAGGATCTCTTGCTCTCAGGTACAAGAATAACCTGAGATACCCACCTCCCGGAGGTCAGGAAAGCAGAATGAGTTCTAAAAACCGAAAAAATCTAACAGGCGGTGTTGGACCTTATAATCCATACCCTCTTCCTTACCTGGGGATTCTTCTTCCAGGCTCTAGTTGAATAGTCCTAGAAAGGCGATCCAATCGCTTGTCTGAGGGTCTCCAGGGGAGGTCAACTACGACTTTCCGTTGTGGAGGAAGAGAGAAGAAACCCTGGTGGCCTACAAATGAAGAAATGGGAAAGTTCCCTCCCACTCTCCGCTCTGCTGAGACTACGGGTGCCCAGTGACTCAAACTAGGTCTTGATAAAGTAGAGCCCAGGACAGATGCTGGGGTCGCTGAGGGTCCCAGCAGTGCCAGAAGCAGCCCTCGGGGCCAGGCAAGGAGGACGGTGACCCCAGAATGATGGCTGCAGGCAGAAATTGCAAACTGGGAATAGGGAACTAGAGATTGCTGTTCTCCTAGGACACGGTTTCTCTTCTTTGGGTGCACATTAGAATCACCTGGGGGAGCGTCAAAAAAAATCCCAGTGCTCAGGCTGTGCTCCAGAACAATCTAATCAGAAGATTTGGGGGCGACCCCTAAGCTCTCGTATTTTTGAAAGCACCCCAGGTTATTCCAGGGTGCAGCTAGGGTTGATAACCCATCCTGGTGAAGAGTGAACGTGTAATATAGAGGGCTTTGAGACAGCCCCAAGTCTCCATAGGGAACTTAGAGTTTTGAGACCTCGAATTGAAAGGATATAGCAAATGTGAAACAGGTGCAGAAGAGCCAAATCTAAACAAATAATAGTAAATTTAAGCCCATTCCAGTCACTATCCACCTAAGGGTTTCTTAGCTCTTACTTTATATAAATAAAATCAGACAGTATGCATTCTGTTGTGTCTAACTCCATTATAATTCAAAATTGATGACTGTGAGATTTATGCATGTTGTTACCTATAATGGTAGGTCATCCTTTCTCATTAGTGTACGTTTTCCATTGTCTGAATATGCCATGATTTCTTTATCCACTTTACTGTTGATGAGCACTTAGGCAGCTGTCAGTTAGGGGCCATTACAAACAGAAGTGCTCTATTTATCTTTACATCGTTTGGTTAACATAAGTACTCATTTGCGTTGGGTATTTTCTTAGCAGTGAATCTGCTGGATCATGGAATATGCACGTGCTCGGCTTTAGATAAGACTGACAAGAAAGTTCCCAAGGCGCGTGACCCAAGGCAGTCATGATAGTTCTACATCCCACACTTCCTAACCGGTACGCGGCGTTTCTCATCTTCATGATTTAAGCCTTCCTAGTGGGTGTCCCACGGTTTCGCTCTAAGTCCTGTAATCCATCAATGCCCCTCTCATTTTTGTGGAATCTTTAGGGGCAAATTCAGGGGAGGAGGTAGAAGCCATGTATTGGAGTTCTCCAGAGACAACATAACTAATAAGATAGATGGATGGATGGATGGATGGATGGATGGATGGATGGATGGATGGATGGATGGATGGATGGATGGATGGATGAATGGGTGGGTGGATAGGTGAGATAGATAGATAGATAGATAGATAGATAGAGATAGATAGATAGATAGATAGATAGATAGATAGATAGATACATAGATACATAGATACATAGATACATAGATACATAGATACATAGATAAATACATAGATAAATACATAGATACATAGATACATAGATACATAGATACATAGATACATAGATAGATTGATAGATAGATAATTTATTATAAGAAATTGGTTCATGTGAGCACAGAGGCTGAGAAATCTCAGCAAGCTGGAGAACCAGTAAAAGTGATGTGTAGTTCTAGTCCAAAAACTGTCAGGCTTGAGACCCAGGAAGTGTTGATGTTTAGTTCAAGTTCAAAGGCCTGAAAAGACCAATGTTCCAGCTCAAAACAGTCAGGCAGGAGTTCCCTTTATTTGTGGGAAGAATAGGCTTTTTGTTCGATGCAGGCTTTCAACTGATGGGCTGACGACCACCCACATAGGGGAGGCGATCTGCTTTACTCAGTCTAATTCAAAAGTTCGTCTCATCCAAAGACATCCTCATGGACACACAGAGAATAATATTTGACCAAATGTCTGGGCACCTTGCTGCCCAGTCAAATTGATAACATAAAATTAATCGTCAATTCATTAGTTTGCCATCTTGTCTGGAACCATTTCTTTTCATTGCTGTATAGTATTCTACTGTAAATATATACGTATGTATATACATATATACACACATAGTTATACATCATATAAATGAAAAACATGTATTATTTTGTTTAATACTACCTGTGCGTTTTATCCATGATGTTATATTTGCCTCGGATTACTCTTTCTCATGGATGTATACTATTTCATTGTGTGACCACATGGAAATTTATTTATCCTGTCTACTGTTGATGGGTATGTGGGTAGTTTCTAGTTTGGGGCTTCTCTTTGATTTTTGTCACCATGAATATTTGAGTTGCTTCTGATTTGTTTCTAAACAATGTTGCAAAGGTGACTTTCTGCAGGTCTCTTTGTACATATCCATAAATGTTTCTCTTGCGCAGCCGCAGATGGAGAAATGACCCATCTAGACCGTGAGTGGAGAGAACACGACACATCTAGAAAGCTCTCTCTCCACCTATTTCCTATCCGTGGCATCTACAAATTTCTTTCTCCACCCTCACCACACTATGACTATGTCTGCTCTCTCCAGAATTTTCTCCCGGATTTTGTTTTATAAATTCGTATTGAAGTAAAACAGACCCATAAAAAAGTGCATATATTTTTAAGTGTGTGGTACAATGCATTTTCCTAAATTGAACACATGCAAGTAACCCAGATAAAGAGACGGAAAATTAGCAGCATCAGGAAATGAAATTATGCGGTATAGGACAGGTAATTTCATCTTTACTAGATCCTCCCAAATTGCTCTTCAAAGTGACCATTTCGACAAACTCACATATCAGAAGTGAAAAAGTATACCCATTCCTTCCCTTCCCTGTCAACCCTTGGGATAAGCACACCCTAGTTTTCACTACACAATAGGTAGAACGTCTCTCCTATTGTTTTAAGTTGCTTTTCCTTCATTTCTAATATGGTTGAGTATCTTTTCATGATCATTTGCCAGTCGAAATGTTTTTTGCTCATTTTGCTATTGGGTTGTCCTCCGGTTCTGACCCTTTCTCTAAGAGCCCACGGCTTACATATCTTTTCTGCGCAAATCCCTCCTGTTTGCTGCCCCTTCAGACCTAAAAGCGTCTCATCTCTAGCACGCTGTACGCTTCCTGGGCTGCATGGACTATGCTAAAGCTTCCCCAGGAAACTTCATGGGCTACAGTCTTTTATGATCATCACGAAACCTCCTAGGCCAGGTGTCATTAATCAGTGGCTGTGCATACTAGGCCCACAGAGCATTTTCAGTGAAAGTAACCAGTATTGTGCTTAGTTTCAATACGAGCAGCTTGGATCCTGTTGTTTTACACCTGGCCCGCTACTCCTTACTCATGCTAACTTCATGCCTCGATCGGCATTTGGGATTCGGTGCAAATCGGTGTACGTTACAGTATAAGTACCGCCATCCAGGCACCAGTCCCAGTCGTCGCAAGGGACCGTGGCCTATTGACAAACACAGATCCCAGACTTTTCAGAGAACTGCCCTGTGCAAACCTAGAGCTGAACCATGAGTATGAAATGCAACTGTGCTACTAGCCCATGCTTACCGAAATACTTTGCACTCTACTAAGTAAATGGCTGGATGAGGGTTCTAACTCAGAAGGCCACCTGAGCTGAAACAAATGCATAATTATGTCTGGATTTCTGAAGTGCATACATGATCTGAATTAATCAACCTGCTGATTAGTCCAAATTCCTCTGTCATTGAAACTTGAAGGAAGGGTAGGTGGGAAGGGTCCACTCTGGAAGTTAGAGAAAGCTCGACTGGGCATGGAGGGCTGTCCGGGGAGCCATGTGGGTGGCTACAGGGGGGCTCTGACCTGCTCCTGGGGTGAAGCCGGGGCCCTGGGCGGAACTGTGGGGTGATGAGGCTGTTCCAGCTCCTGGATCGTAGCTGCTGAGGAGAGAGCAGCACGTGGATTCTCCCTGTCGTCAGGCAGAGCTCTTCAATGAGGTGGGCTTAGGAGGGCTCGTGCCTCTGCTCAGCCGAGCTCCAGCCGGAAGCCTTGGGAGGCAGAGGAGGTGCAGCTGCTGCCCGGCTCTCTCTCCTGGCTGTGGGAGCAGGGACAGCCAGAGGCTCGGCTCCTCCTGAGCCATGCCAGCCAACCTCACAGAGGGCAGCCCCAACTCCAACGGGACCATGCAGACTCTGGATTCTTCCACAGCCGTCTGCTTCCCCACAACTCTCCAGGAAGTGGAGGAAGAGGAATGGGGCTCCTTCTATTACTCCTTGAAGGTGAGTGTCCTGCCTTCCATCCTGAACACTGATTTTAGATAATGAGACGGGTGAATTTTAAGAGGCCAGTTAAATATAATAGCCAATATTGTAAATGGGTGAAGTTTATATTCTTTACTATAAAGAATTTTTTAAAAACCAAACTGATAAGCTAAAGTACCGAGTTTTTCATACCATGCAAAGACCTCTGTTGTAGTTTCTTATAAATACAGGTCTTTTCCTTCTTTTCCTGCTGCTGTTCAAAATACGTGAATTATGCGTTACGTTTGTGAGTGGATCCTTCTTAAAATTTTTTCCTCTCTTCCTTGGGTGAAAGCACACTTAATTAATCCTACAGTCATGAGTGAAACGTCTGTGTCTCGAAGGGTTATTGCTCTGAGTTTTCTGCTAGGAACAGCAGAGTTGTGGCAAGCTCACATCCCCGGGACAGTGCCTGATGCCAGGAGAGACACAGCACCAAGAAAGCAAGGAAGGACCACACTTTCCTTATTGATTCTTTGCATTGAACATCAGTGAGAAATAGATTCTTAAACAGTAGTGCACGGTGCCACTGTTTGCAACAAGTTGACTCCTAGAATGAATGAAGGAATCAGAGTTTGGTGAGTTTTTACCTTGAAAGTATGGAGGGCCACAGTGAAGAGAGGACCCTCGTTAAGCTGATATTGTTCCCTCTTCTGCAGCAAGAGCTGGTCGGGAACAAACCCGACATCTGAAACAACAGTTTCCTGCTTCTTGTGTGAGAATGCTTGGGATGGCAGGTTATTTCACACGCTGCCTCGTGATGTATTCGGTCATTGTAATAATTCCCAGGTCTCAAATTGGTCCTTTCTATCAAAAAGAAAAACATTTCAAGAAAAATTCTAGCAGTTTTTTTTTTTTAACCATCTTGGCATTTTGAAAATAATTTGGCTTTTTATCCAAAAAGGTATCATTACTAGAATATCCACCTCTCTACTCACGCTCTGCGTGAGAATAAAACTTTCAGCAGGGAGCTGTCCCTAGAGCCAGCCTCACACTCCTCAGGGACCAAGACACTCTGCAACACAGCAGAGCCCAAAGAAAGAAGTCACTTGGGCTGGCTGCAGGGGACCCTGTCTCTCGGGTCTACCTCTTGCAGCGTGTGCACGTGCAGCCCAGACGCCCAGCCCCTCAAAAGAAAATAGACGATGAAATTAGAGTCTGTTGCCATTTGCCATTGACTCAATAATCCCTTCTACAAAATCGGCCAGAGACTCTGCCTCAGAGAAGCAAGCTTTGCACACCCAGGAGGCACAGGGCTCCTGTCAGTGACACCGCCTCTGTGGCCTCTTTGATATTTATAGAACATGACAGCAAACAGAATGGAGAGAGATTGGACATTGCAAAAGGGATAATCATCAGCAATAAGGCAGTTGTTCCGAGAGACCCAGGCGATAATCACTACCAGCTGAAACCTCATTTGCCAGTTTTTGAATGCGGCTCCTGAGAGGACGTTTTGAATATGTGGACACAAAAAAAAAAAAATTCTGCTCGCTCCCTACTAGTGTTTGTACCCTGTCCTAGCAACATCGTCGCTAGGCAGCAGAGGGAATCACATCACTTTTATCTCATTCCTGTTGATTATGTTTGCCGTCCAGCAACTGGACCACTGGACAAGGAGAGAAGCTGAGAGGGGTTATGTCTGGCCAGGAGATTGAAATGTTCCACTTCATAAACAGTGATCTTTAGTTACACTGCAGTCAGTGGTGGTGTTTGTGGGAACCTAACTTAGTGTAACTTTTTTTCATGGCTCCCTTTGAGCACAAGTGCTTTTGATATGCTGCCGATACAGAAACAGTTCCTAAAAACAAACAAACAAACAAACAAATGTAAAACCTGTTCACCGTGATGCTTTTATCCCATATATTTCTCAGTAGGAAAGTCAGAATTGAGCTTCTTTACTATTTTCCAAGCATGCCCTTTAAATCTCCATTGTCTTTACCTAAAGCAGTAAAAATATCATAAAAAGCAAAATGGTGACAGCAGTGAAAGCAACAGAGCTACTAATAGCAATAGCCATACATTCATTTGCTGCGGGCTTTCTTAGTCACAGGAATCTTTCTAAATGACTTCTGTGAAGTATCTCATTTAATTCTCACAAACCATGCTGTATCCTTCCATCTGGAACTGACTTTCATCTTCATCTGTGTTTGTCTAGATTCGATCTTCTCTTTAAGACTCCTCTTGGATTGCTTCCTCCAGGAAGCCCCCCTTGTCTCATCCTTCCTCTGAGTTCCAGTACTGTCATGGACTGTACCTCTCTCCTTGTCACTTAATCCAGCTCTGTCTTCAACTGTCATTTTAATATGCGTCAGGTAAATGTGTAACAGTCATCAAGCTCCTTGAGTGAACGCAATGCCTGATGTTGTTTCAGATTCTCTCCAGAAACTTGCACCATCCTGGACATACTCAATAAACATGTCCTGCAGAAATGAAGTGTGGTGTTCTGCTTCTGTCAGTCACCTCCATCTTGTCAGACGGGGCAACAGAAAGCTCCCTTTCTCAGGGACAGAGGTGGGGGTCTTCTTCTCTGCTCTGCATGTCAGCCCCTGCCTTGCCGGGTCGCTAGCGGCCATACTTGCCAAGGTCGTTCTCTGCAGGCACATTCATCCCGTTCTTATCTCATTTCTAAGCGGGTGTGACCAAGGTAAGTTCCAGGTTCCAGTGGGCGGGGCATGGAACCAGCTGTGGTACCGCGGACTGATACCGGACACCTCGCTTAGCCCTGGGCAGCCTGTGCCCACTGCGTTGCAGCCTTACCTAGTCTTAGCCTCCGTCTGCATGCCTGGGCTGCTACCTCAGCTTCCTCCTCTCCTCCAAACCCCAAAGCTCTCTTGGCAGATGAGAAGATATCCCTGTCCAGGTCTTACTAACTTTTCCTTCACTGGCTTAGAGCCTTTCTGCCTTCCCATCTCCAACCCCAAGTTGTTGCCCCGCTCCCCGCTGCTCTAACGTACTCTGCATTTTAAGCATGGCCTCAGATGACAGCAGAGGGGCCGGGAGCGAGTTCATCACCTTCTTCCTCTATCATGAACCACGTGTGACTAACGCTGTGTGGTCCCGGGTTCAAGGTCCTCAGTTCAGGCCCTAATTTACTTCACAGTTTCTAACTTCAAGGTCCTGTCTAGCTTACCCCTCAAGTCCTAAACCCCAGCATTAAGGAATGATATGGCTGCGAGAATCTCCCAGAAGCTTTTAAGGAGAGCGGGATCTGGCTCATCGGACAGGGAAGGGGGCGCCTGCATGTAAAGCTGTCCAAGTGGGAGACAAGGATGGAATAATAGCCTCTTCATCACACCCTTTAACCTGGCCCCTGAATTCACTGCAATGTTTTCTAATCTCCGATTTCTTAATGATGAGGAAATTAATTCAAAGTAACTGGAAAGGAAATCTATCTCGATTAGTAAATTGGCTAAATTATAAATAATGCAAATGAACTCCATTTTATTTCTCTTAGATGAGGGGAGAACCATGAACCAAGACTGCTAAATATTACCTCATGACTATCTTGTATTGAATCTCCTTTATTGGGTAGTTACAAATAATATGCAATTAGTTAACCATTATTTATATGTAAGTGGCAGCTTCTAAGTGCCTGAGGGTGATTGGACACAGTTTGTTCCCCTCGTTTGCTCATTCTCACCACCTGCCATCTTCCTGTTAATTTTCCTAACACACCCGTCCTCCATTAATGCAACAGAAGCGAATTCCAGTTCAACCCATGTCTCAATTATCTCACACGAGGCTTCAAGCAAGTGCTCAACGTAAGCAGCTTAAGTTTACTGTACTGTGTACTTGTTTTCATTATATTCAGGTTGACAGTTTATTTGTAAGAACTCGTTCTAGCTACGGAGGACCAGCGTTTCCAGCTTCGGCGACTGCCACTTCACCTCCTCTCTGCCCACTCGCCTGCTTCCTCTCGTCTGCTGCCATCCTACCCCGTGGGGACTCGCTTGTCTCCCTTCCCGCCTCGGTTCCCAGCAGGATGTCAGCGCTGCCTGCCCCAGCACCTCCATCCCTAACCTTTTAGTGTATCTTTAGTGCAAGTCATAACAAGGGGTCTTGTGTTTACATTATGGACTTGTTGGTCTTCTTCTAATTAGTTCTATTCCATGTGTTCATTTTGAGTTTCTACCAGTCGAATAGTGCAGCTGTTCATAGGAGATTACTACTGGTTTTGTTCAGTGAAATAATTATGAAAGGTCTCCTATTTACTGCCTGTTTCTACCATGTCCAATTTCACTCTGCATCATTGAGAAAGGCACAGACGTTGCTCGTTGGCTTTGCAAGGACACCATGCAGCTCCAAGCTATGTAGATGTGAAAAAGGACAGCTTCATCTAAATTTCTCTTTGTGTAAGTAATACATCTCGTGGCAGGAAAGATGATCTTAGTTAATTCAGAGTAAACTCAGTCATTACAGAGTTTTTCAGCCCATGGAGGGTTTTCCTATTTTGTGACTTAAGGAGACATCAAAGCTCTAAGGGATGTGATTCTATAGCGTGCTCATGGGTGCAGTAGGGGTGAGGGAGGGCGCCCACCTAGGAAGGGGTGTGGGCAGGTGGTTGCAGCTGAGAGAGAGACCCCTGTCTGACCTTCAGAATGGTCATCCTGAGTCCAGAACCCTGTTGAGATTCCCATCCGGCCCAGGTCAAGACTGCACTGCCTTCTACCACAGCATCCCTTTGTCACATTTCCTTTGGGGACACGAATGCTCACAGCTCCCTCTTTCGCCCCCTCAATCCTGGTTAAATTCCTATGTCCTTACAGGGAATGAAAAGTTTCACTTCTTTACTCCCCGTTCTGGGCAGCAGAAACAAAGTGGCATTGTCTCCTTTTCCTACCCATGGGGCCATCATAACTATAGAACTCCCACCCCATGATAGCTGGAAAAATTCCCAGGAGTCGTTATTCCCTGGTTCCCATACAGTAAGTACCCTTCTAATCCTGGGCTCCCCAACTTAGCGGGTGTTGTCTCATCCT